CTTTATGTGTAATGATAATCTTGTGTAGTTCAGAGCCTAAGAAGTCTGGTATTATACCTGAACGTCATAGACTCTGAGCTAGACAAGATTATTTTTAGCAGGCACTTAAGATATTACAGGAGGAACACCCTATAGGATCTTGTTTGTTCTTAAAATGCCTATGAAATGTGCATCTCAGTGTGAAGTATGAAAATTTGGGTGACAAATTAAAGGAACAACTCGAACAAAGGAGTTGAGAAACAAAATGAATGCAGATGCTGACACGGACTGGCTCCACTTGTCCCCTTTAGAGGGAAAGGTCACTATAAATCAATACAAAGTTGTTTTGAGTGATCACCTTTATCCTGTGATGAAACACTTTTATCCTGATAGGAGCGGTCTCTTCTAGGATGACAGTGCCCCCATCCATAGGACACAAAGGGTCCTTGGATGATTTGAGTATGAAGACAAGGTGAATCACATGCTGTGGCCTCCACAGTCACCAGATTTCAACCTAGAGATGTTGGACCAATGTGTTGATGTTGGACCTTGAATGATCATTAAAGTATCACATGAGGGAACATCTTTTGGAAGATCGGTGATCATCCCTCCAGTAGAGTTCAGAGACTTGTAGATTCAATGCCAAGGTGCACTGAAGCTGTTCAGGCTAAGGTTCCAGCACCTTACCAAAACACTTTAATCTGTCACCCATCTGTTGTATAATAAGGGATACCATTTACAGTAAAAGTTGGAAGCAACATAATTTGTTGATTTCTGTGAGAACTTAAACCAGTGAAGGTGTCCAACTACCTTAAGGGAACAGGGTCACTTGGCCTGTTAACACGCCATTGTGCTTATACTGGTGCAGGTGCTTTTGAGTCCAGATGTGTTTTTTGCACCTTCTGGCCATCCAGAACAAGTGTGGCTCTCTGTGCTCACTGTGGCAGTTGTGTTAATGAACACGTAACATGAACATGTAATGAACTCTGTAGGAAATAGCTTGATTTCCTGGGCTGATGAAATGAATGCGACGGTATTTGTGCATCCCTAGAATGCGTTCAAGCTGAGCAGTGTTTCCAGCTGCTGTACTAAGGTTATAGTGACCATCACACGACTCCCATCATATAGATAAGTTATGTATATTGTCCTCTATTAAACCAGTAAACTGAGGTCCACTGTGGGGAAACTGGGGTAAAATATATTAATTTCTACTAATAAAATGCCAGTAAATACCCAATAACAACTGAAATTAAATAACCACCGGTACTTTGGAGAAAATAAAAACAAAATACCAAACACAAGACAAATCAGATACCTTGCATTTCCCAATGCACAGACATGCATAGTTAATTTATGTTAGTAATACTAGAAGATGTCTTCCACCTCTTTCCTTTTTAACATCAGATAAAATGTCAGACATAAGGACATGTAAAGACAAAGGTGCAGTTTAACATACATCGTAGGAAATACATAGAGTAAACCTTAAGTACCTTCAGTTTCTTCACACATTCTCTTGCATACTTTTTATTTTTATGTTTTATGATGTTTTTTTACAGCATCTTGTCATAATTGGTCTTGCCACTGGTGGTTTCTACATTTCTTTATCCATGAAAAACAGTTCAGTTCAGTTGGATTCACATGGATTTGATAAATGGATGAGAAATGTAGAAATGATTATTATTGGAAAGTTTTGCACGTTGTTTGTTTACTTTAAACTTTTTTGTACAGTTCTGTTGTTGTAGCTACATTGACTTGTGAACCATATGGGGGCTAGGGTAATAAGAGTAGTTATATAGTGCAGGTTTTTGCTCTTGAACAAAGCTTTCTGTGCACTATTTATGTGAGTGAGCGTCGAATTTATTTGTGTTTTTATTGTGTGCAGCGGTAAATAAGGGATAAGTTTAATGTATGTACTGTAGGTAAAGCTGTTTGCCTCTTTCCTTCCTGTGTGTTCTGAAATCTTTTGCTGCAAACAGTCTGGGGTGCAGAGACGGTGGATCGTGTGGGGTGTGGGGGAGGTAGGCAGCGGACATGGCGGCAAGCCAGAATCAATTGGCAGTGTAATGAGATGGCCTGGTGCCAGGTAACCATGGAGCTACCCTCTTTGCCTGTCTACTAGTGCAGAGTTCAAAATTAAACTGAATGAATGAGAGAGAGAGAGAGAGGTGGGAGGGGGAATAAGGGTCTGAAATGGCAGGAGTGCAGGGTGAAAGAAAGAAAGAAATGGTAAGAGAAGAGGAGGGTGGCTGATGAGGCACTGTAGGCTAAGCACTGCTGCAAAATTTTACTTGAGCCCTTATTTCAGAGAAGGAAGATGGCAGAAGTAAACTCAAGAGCCACCCAGGGTTTTTATACTCTGGAAATACAGTTTCTCTCCATCTGCAGTTTGCTTCTGTGCACTACCAGATAAAAGGAGGCATCAAGGAAAGAACAAGTGCTCTTCACAAAGAAAGAAAAAAATGCAGACTCCTTGAGTTTTCTTCCTTGATGTTCACACTGAGCTGCTTCCTTTGCAAGTCTGATGGCATTCATTGCTTTAATTTCCCTGTAAACCTCTGCATTTCTTCCTCCCCCTCCTACAACCGCACTCTTCCTCCTGTCATGGAAGATATGTTAATATTGAGCATTTGGCTGCATTCTTACAGCGATTAGTACAAGCCAGTGGATCCAATAGATGAAAAGAAATTAAGTAATTAATACAGTAATTAGATCCTTTTCTCCTTCCTACAGTCTTACCCCTGCTATGTTATTGTGCTCACTCCTTTCTCAACTTCATATGCCCAGCATCTCTAAGAGGCAGTGTGCCACCCATGATGGATAGTTTTACTTTGTACTGTCTCTCTGACCTAATGGTACTGTATGTTGTCAAACACTGCAGTACAGTGCAACCGTGATTAGTAATGCTCTATCAGGAGCTTGTATTAAAATTCTAATGATGTCTAAGAAAATGCAAAGTTTATGATTTGAGTATATCATTAATTTACATACATTTAGTGTGTAAGGCTTATTTAGAGTAACAACAATAGAGATGGATAATGCTACTTGTTGATAGCTGTGGTTCTTTTGCATGCTTCACAGTGTAATGTGGTCCACCTAGAAATATGAATCAGATCAAAACATATAAAACAAAACTTTCTTTTTGCATTAAAGCCAGTAGGCCCTGTTTTTTTCTTGCAAAGCTTATTTCTACACATATCACATGCTTAGCCGAGCCAGCAGCTCTCGGTGTGTTTGTGATGCTTTTCTTGTGGTATGGTGGTGAAATTGAATCTTTGTGTGTATTGTATGAGGTGAGTTAGGATTAGAGTGACGCTTATCCTGATATGACCTTTGCTTTTACTAGGATGCCGTTGTGTGATCAGTGATATTTAGTGGAAGGGAGAGTGTGATATACTGCTAGCCTGTCTGTACAGTGAAAAGCATGTTCAGCAGTGGGCCTCATGGCTTGTGAAAAATGCTCAGGCACTCCTTACTGAAATGGCCCAGACTTTGAGAGTTTTGAGTGCATGTCGAGGGGGAGACGAGACAGTGGGCCAAGATGTCTGTGGTGTGGATTAATGGGGAGGACTGGAGAAAGGGTGCCGCAGTTGTGCGTGAGCAGAATATTTGATGGGGAAGTGAGAGGAGGGAACAGTCAGGGACAGGCAACAGCAAGAGATGGGCGAGATGAAAGGGGGAAAAGAGATAAAAATGGTCCGAAACATCTAGAAGCAAAGATGTATGAGCATGAATGAAAATGTACAGTAATAAATACTGCTGCTGACTCATGTCTCCCACTGGTGCTTTATCCTGTTCTCTGATTGCACTCCACAGTGTAGGCTTTACATGTTCATTCTGCTGCAGTGGGCTGAAAATGGGATCAAATCTACATGAAGGCCTTCTTCACAGACAGCTGAAATATACACCTCAATCAAGTTCAGTTAATCATGTCTCTAAAGACAACACATGCAGGAGACACAACCAGGGAGAGCGCATACAATGCAGATACACTGTGAGTACATTGAAATTCACTTACAGCTAATTTTCCTTACTCTACATGACTATTTTCAGTGCCTGTGAGACGTACTGTAGGCACACCTGTACCAATCACACAGTCCGCTTTCATCTGATGAAATACGCTCTTCTTTTCTTTTTGTTCTTCCAGCAGATCTCTGGCAGACACATGGTTACATCTAATGTCCTCATATCAGCTTTTGGTTGTGAGCAGCAATATTTTGGCAGCCAAAACGCTCCAATGGCTTTTCATACACATCAGTACTTTGATCATAATACATTAATGATCATGAATAATGATTTAATATCATTTAAACCGAGTACTATATTATAACCCCATTATTAGAGTTATTTGAATATTAGCACAATTTTTTTCTTTTACCTACATCCAGCCTTTTTGATTTTGAGCTCTGAGCACTGGTGCATTGTTACTGTTGATTTAAGTTGCTTGTGCAAGTTCCTCAGACAATACAACAGACGGGCTGGACTGTGGGCGGCTGTCTCATGTTTTGACTGCTGCATCTAAACAGTTCAAATCAGACATCTGCAGCACCTGGTGCTAAGGTTTGCTTGTACATACAGATATGGGCACAGTAGTGATCTTCCTGAGAACAACAGTAGACAAGAACCATTTCTGAAACAGTAACATAACTGGACATGCTTGTACTTTGGGAAGCACTAGTTGCCCAGCAGTGGCTCAGTAGCAGAGACTGGCCTTGATAGACAAATCTTGAAGATTTTTGTTGCAGTGTCCTTCAATTCTCAACCGGGGATCACAGCCTTAAAGACTAGAGTGCTGTAGTAGTGAATCCTAAAACCTGCAATTGTTTGTTGAGGAACTCTGATTGCTTAAATGTATCAAAATAGATACTAAAATTAAACTAAATAGATTATTGTTCACATAGAAATAACATCCATTTTTATGAAGATTCAAAGCTAGTTGTAGTAGTACTGTTTCAAGAATGCTACAAATATCTGGACTACTATAAAAGATGTGGGTCATAAATGCACCATATAATACAACAATGTGAAGGAATTTTAGATGGGTTTATTTATGTTACAGTAGTCTGATGATGAGATTACACTCCCACAGTTTAAGTGTCTGTCTAAAGGACACCACACATCCTTATAACACGTTGTTATAAAACTAGAAAGTAGGGAGTGCCTTACAGAATTACAAGCAAGCTGAAATTTTGTGCAAGACGTCATATCCATGCTGCAGTGACACCTCAATGACAATGTTTTAAGACTGTTTAATGTCAAGAAATACTGCAGCATGAGATGCAACATTTAGGCCACCACACTGATGGAGGGAGTAAAGATTTCATTCCTTTGCCAGTAGCACCTGTCACACTGCATTAATAAATATTTAATGTGAACAGTATTACATCACTAAGTAAATTATTAGCTAATGTCATTTCAATAGGAATTTAGAATGAAACCTTTTGAGAGAGGGGAAAGGAGGAGGGTACAGCTACCATAGGACCATGGCTGCAACATGGACAGTAATGAGGACACATAGTGTAAGAAGCTAGTAAACAAATATAACTATAACATTAACATACAATGATAACCTATGTTACTGGGGCCTGAATCTTTTGCTTTGTTGTCACTGCATTTTCTGCATTGACATGATGTCGTCGTACAAAAATATGTGGTAACGACTGTTGCCCATTGTTGGCAGCCCACTTGCTCTTCTTTGCTTTCCCAGGCTCTGAGAGTGGCTTTAAGGGGTTACCTTGTTAGAGGTTTGGGGTTATGCCCATGTCGGTCACTGTTTTCTTCAACCTTCTGTTTTTGGAGAGGCCCTTCTCTGTGTCCACACTGTGACAGGGTTCTTGGCAATAGCCTGAAAGTCAAATCGGTTCATTTAGATTCAAATGGTGACCATGGAGCAGACAGCAGCCCATTGGCATGCTGTGGCTAAACTAGTATCCAGGCCTCTTAATAACTGAGCATAGCATTTGTCCTTTTTCAGATTGTTAACAAGCTGATATACACTATACATGTATGACTCTATGTATGAATGGAGGAGCTTGTTTTTAAAATATAGCACATACTGTGGATTCTTGTGTAATTTCAAATAGCTTTTCTAAATCGCATACAAACTTAGAGTGTTTGAACACCTACTTCAAAATCTGAAAAGATACCTCAGTGTAGGTTACCTCGCTGGTAGGGTCATTCCTCTAATGGAAATATTCCGCAAGCGAGAAGTGTTTTGTGGAGACCCATGTCATATAAGTACAGCACTCTATAAAACAGAAAGATTATTGCTGTAAATACAGAACAATGGAATCAAGTGTATGGGTGTGAATTTTCCCCACCCTTGGGTTTTTTTAAATGGGAAAAACCAGGATGACACATAAAATAATCTTATCCAGTTGCATCACTTCCTAAATGAGGAGGTTAAAAAAGTCCCTGAGCCTTTTGAATGTTGCCAGTTGTCTTTTATCCTATTGTTGCGTTTTGTTGTTAAATTAATCTTATAGCATGTAGATTAGTACGCAGTCCTGACAATTAGTGATGTGTCAGCTTATCGGTGGTACATGTTCTGACATCTAGTTTTTATGTGCTTGAATGTTGTGGTTATATGCAGTCTTATCTTGAAACTGCTGAGCTTTTCAAGAGACAATGAACAGAATTGGCCCCTGGATAGAACCTTGAGATACTCCACTAGATGAGGATGTAGTACTATTGACTGCAGTAGTCTGGCTATTGAACTATGTCCTATGCTGTTGTGATGTCACAAGTGGTGCTGAAGTTAAGTACGGCAAGAAAGACACTTGTGAGAGAAGGCCATTCAAGAAAATCAGCATTCAAGATAAACATTTTACCACGATTTTGATAGGGAAGCTTATATATACAGCATATACAATCACTATATATGGTCGCTTTATTGGGTACACCTGTACAATTGTATGCACTTCACTGCATTGTCATAAATGTATAAATTCAATTATATGTTTACTATTTAGGTCACAGTAAAAGGTGGTGTTGTACTGGACTACATATATTCAGAGGTGTCTCTATATTTTTTCCCCAGCTACATTTATGAGAGTGTCAAAATATTAGGAACACCTCTAAATATAATGTAGTCCAGTACAACACCACCTTTAACTTTGACCTTGTACAGGTCAGGTGTACCTAATAAAGTGGCTGGTCAGTGTATATTTTAGTTCAGGACTATACAACTATGTAAAAGAAAACAGGATGTTTCTGCTGAAAAATCAAGGCACACACTGAGAAAAAGTGGTAAATAGAAATTTTAAAGTTGGTGTGTCATACTGAAAATAACAGCCACAGCCACCCATAAATAAAATAATTCCACAATAATAGACAGGTCAATACAATATTTTTAAATGCGCAGCTACAAAATATCCTGTGATCAACGAGTCAATTGTCCTGTAAAGCATTCAGGACACACACAAAAAAAATAGATATAGCACAGAGCATCAAGAGGACGACACATTAGCACAGACAACAGTGGCAGAGCATCAGGATGTGGCCATGTGGATGCACACAGTGAGCCATATCAGCCTTACTCGTTTACAGTCGTAGCCTTCCTCTGTATGGTGAGCCAAGTAGAGTTTCTTATGGTCTGACAACACAGCTGTACGCCATTCGTCTGGTCTGAAAGACGGCCAATGGGACGAAGGGCAATGAGTGAGGAGAGGGAAACGAGGGAGAGATGCTCGCTGAATTCCCCAGCCCTCCTCTGAGCAGGACGGGGAGCACCACTCTCACTCTCTGCTTATAGCTTCTTTCCCCCGGCCCTCAGCCATTTTGGAGAGATGAAAAAGTAGCTGCTTTCTCTCTCCCTCTCTCACTACGTGGCATAGCTTTGGAAAGGCTTCGGCTGCTGTGTTGTAGCAGCAGAGAAGACACATTTTGCAGCTCGCATTTGGGACATAATATGTTTGCAGAGAAAAAACTGTGACAAGAAACAACTGTCTTCCATTTTGACTTTTTTAACGAATTTTTGTTTCTCTTGCATTTTAGTTTTGTTTCGCTGCTCCTTTCCCCTTGTCTCTTTTATGTTATATCTCTTTTCAAATCTCTCGATTTGATTTTATGCAACAAAGTTTAAGAAAAAGGGACATGTCCAAATTTTGGCAGCATTAAGAAGAGACAGAGCTGCAGCCAGGGATCCTGCTGGGATCCAGAAAAGCCAAGCCGAATGAAGCACCAAAAAAAAAAAAAAAAAAAAAAAAAAAAAAAAAAAAAAACACCCCCCTTTCCTTCCCACATTCAACCTTTTGCCATTTCTCTCTCGCCGTACCTTTTTTTTTTTTTTTTTTTTTTTTTTTTTTTTTTTTTTTTTTTTTTTTTTTTTTTTTTTTAATTTGATTTGAGGTTTTTGTACCCTGGAAAATGGGGACTGGACAACGGGTTAGGAGGGCGTAACGGGGAGAGAACGAGGGGATGTTATCTTTTTACTTTTACTTGTTATTCAGCAGTTTTTTACTGTTACTTTTATAAAAACTAAATTGTTGTTGTCGTGCTTTTAATTTTTAGTATTTGATGTGTTTTAAGGATGTGTTTGGATTACCACGTTTGTTTTAGGAATGTGTGCACATGGGTATCTTATCTGTGAACATTAGAGTCTCTGTTCTCTTCAATCAGTTTGTGATGGTTTGTTTATCTCGTTTTACAGGTTTCCTGATTTATGCTGAGGCACTGGCCTTTACGACTCCAGTCTCACTCCATCTGATTCCAGAGGACGTCTGACCAGCAGGTCCAGCGTGTTGCCCTACTGGTATGTTTGTGATTTATAATTCTTACAGTTTCTCTCTGTTAGCTTGGTGCAGTGTAATTTCTAATCCACACCATTAGATACATACATATTTTTTTCACAACGCATGCTTTTTTTGTGTTCATACTGTATATTTTTTGAGTTTATGTCAAGTAGTAAGGTGAAGAGAAACAGTGATATTATGGAAATGCATAATTTATCAGATAATTGCACAGAGGTTGTATTTATAAACTACCGGTTTCGTTTTCAAAAATTTAAGCTAACATAATATTTAGTATTTTGCACAGGTGCAATTTCACGGTTTCTTTCAGTCTTAGTTTGGTTTACCTATAGATATTGGTTTGGTTGTAGAATTACTGTTTGGCGATTGTGGTCGTACGTGGTCTTTTTGCTAAGAATAGAAATGTTCTCGATTGGTCTCGGGATGTCTTATTTATAATGGGATATTTTGTTTGAGAAAAAAAAAAGCAGGCAGCCTAAAATGGGGCTTCACACAGCAGCAATTTATTTTCTCTATTCAAATCATTCCTTTGTAACTGTCTTTTTTGTTTTTATGTCCTGATATTAAGCTGCATACAGTATGTTATTCTGTCTGACATTTCAGAAATAAATGATGACCTCAAAAGAATGTGATCAGTAGGTTACACAAACATCATACCCACCTCATGTGCTTTGGCCTGTTCAGTGTACTAAGGTCTAATGTCAGGGCACTTCTCTATAAGACAGACAAACAAGAAACATGTTTCACAGCCACAGTGAAACGGTTTCATTTATTGTAGAACATTTTTAAAAATAGATGAGAGGAACAGTATTTTATTAGTCTGTCACTGTTCTCTCGTATAAGAATTTCGTAAGGTTAAAATTGACTGAATTTCTCAATCCACAAACACTTAATAACAGATATGCTGTATGATGTAGATACACAAAGTTAGCAACACTTCTGGCTCTTGATAAATACTGTGTTTAGTTTACTATGGTGTTTAGTGTGGCACATTTGCCTGAACGCCCCCTCAGAGGAGTGGTCTACTGAAGGAATGGACCTGACAGGTTCAGGCAGCAGTGACTCGCTTGTTTCCATGTTTTCTGGGGCACGTCTTCCTTATTTGCTCTTGATGGGGTAACGCCAGCTGCCACAAACCCGTAGATCCGAACTTGTGGTGACTGGCTGCACAAGCTCGTATCTATAGGTATGTGTCTTCCTGGTAAATGCGGCACCTGCCTTATGCCTGTAAGAAAAAAAAAGCTCAGTGTTGCAGGTTTTGACTGCATAGTCCTAAAGATGGGATGGATCAGACTTCATCACAGTTTTGTTATACCATGAAATCATTTACAACACCAAACTCTCTTTCTTTGTGCTGAGACAGCCCTGATGCTGTCTACCCCTGAAACCTGGGAGACAGGATATCCTCTGCCATGCTTAGCCTACAATATGTGCCACATCTTTACGCAGTGACCCTGTCTACTATAAAGTACTAGCGTTGGGCAACAGTATATCACGATGTGACTTAATTAGGTCACTGGGTCAGTGCCGCAAATCTATGAATCAGACGGCTTTATTGCAATACTGAATTTATGAGATGTTTGTGTAAAATTGATTTGTTAGGTATGTAATTCGCTGGATTAGCATGAAGTGGATGTTCCCATCTTTAACTATAGATGCTATACATGTTTCTTAAATATTCTGTAATATTCCCAGATATAGTAGAAGATTGTATCCTGATATAACTTACACTGTAAAAGTTTGTTATGGTGGCACTGAGCCGTCTGCACCCACCTCTGCTAATCGGCCTTTCTGCAGTTTCCTCCTGTGCTCCGCAGGTTGAGGTAGTAGGTTGTATAGTTCAGAGTGACACCAAAGGAGATAACTGTACAGCCTCCTAGCTTTCCCTGAGGACACTCCACACACTCTGGACACTAGTGGATTATTTTCCCACACTGATTTTTGGGCTCAGGGCTTATCAGTTGATTGTAAATACAGTGTCTCGATATCTGTTGCTTATGTCCCAGACCCTACATTACTGACTTTAAATTTTCAGTTTTTGTTTCATAGTGTCTCGCTTTTTCTCTTTATAAGACAGGAAAAAATGTGTTGCACATAATGGCATGAACATGGCAAAAATGCCTCTGTCTCTCATACAGTATAACATTATTTGTCACTTAAATTAAAACGATCACAGAGTAGAGGACAATGAGGGGGAACATGCTTCAGATGCCAGCACCAACATGCTGCTGCAGCGAGGTTTGTGGGCCGCTCTAATGAAAGAAAGCCACACAGCCGCAGAGGGAAGAACAGGATCTTGGCAGCCAATTTTGTACAAAGTTCAGTTTCACTTAACCAAAACGATATATTTCCTCTGTGCAGCCGTGCGGTAAAGACACTGCTGTGATCAAAACAACTAGTGACAAATTTCACTGCTTCAAACCAAGACAACAGCAGAGCCCTGAAATCATTTTGGTTCTCAACAGCAATGTAAAGTGTGGCTTCATTTCAGACATATATAATAGAATGTCCTAGCTTTCTCATAAACCATGTGAGACGTATTTTAGCTGCATTGCTCTGATCTCTGCTGGTGACTGCATTTTCTAAACTCCCACCTTGGCACTTTGATTGTGGCACACAAATGAAATCAGTGTCAAGAAAACATAGCTGATATTTAATGGATTGTATTATTTTTGTAGAAGTTGTCCTGTAATGTGGATAATTGTGATCAGTTTGCTGTACATTAAACCAGAGTTGTGGTATTTGCTCCTAATTTCCACTAACACAGTTGTGAAAATAAATTTTTGCAGCTTCATCTTTATTTGTACTGCCATATAAGTATGTTCCTTATGCAGGTTGTAGTCAGAAGTAATCTTATAAATAAAATGAGATAGTGGATGCAGTTCACTTAGGGATATATGGTATCCCTGTGGTGCGATGTGCTGCTGTGTGCAGATGTGTAAACCAGGGAGTGGTATAATGATGAAAGACTGTTTCCACTTAAACGCTTTGCTCTCTGTCCCAAGGCTGCCGGGTTTGATGGAGGTGGGGGTAAGGAGCTCTGTGGGTTAGAATGAATTAGGGGCCCTTCGTACAGGGCAGCTCCGACAGTATGTGAGAACGGGCAGTCACTTACAGTAGATAAAATATAAATCTACTGCTGTTTTTTAAAATGTAGTGCATAATTACCCTCCTTATACTATTTTGTTCCTGCTGCAGAAAAGTATTTTTTTAATTGTACCCCTGTCTGTTTTTATGGCCATGAGGTAGTGTGTTACAGTATACAGCAGGAGGCATCCAGGAGCTCTCACTAGTAACCCTCCCCCCAGCACGCACACCCCAGCGTCTTTGTGGAGCCTAAGTTTAGGTTTTTTTGTGTTCATTGAAAAGTTCTATAAATAGTCCTGTTTAACTGTTCTAATGTTAGTTTTGTGTGTGGCCAACTTAAAGTGTCAGTGGTGCTGGAAAGGAAGTGGAAGTAAAGAAGGGCATTTTGTAAAACAGATTACATGGACAGACCCTCCACTGCCTTGAAGTGCATGTGATGTGTTGAGACAACACAGCATGTGATGTCTGTGACCCGCAGAGATGTATTTCCTTTAAAAACGGGGACTGGAATAGAGTCAACAAAAGGACAAGTCTCTAATGATTTTCAAGTCAGAAATGATAATGTTTATGATTTTTAGAATACCTGTAGAAACTGTAAACAAGACATGTTCATATAAATCAGTGTAAATGAGCAGAGAGGGAGATATTCTGAGACCACACAGGCTATTTTCTGCTGTCACCGATTTCAGCCTATTGTGCGTTTTCTGTCAGAGGAAGCCTATTCTGGTAATTCCCTCTTCTCCCCATATGTCTCGCTTTCCTACCATCTTGTCCCCTATGGTTTTCGCAGCCCCTTTCTACTGCATACAGTGGCTAATACTGACTAATACTGATTAAATATAAGACTACCACACCAACAGGCTTCCGGTTACATTTCCTTTACCACTCCCTGAACTGGTGCATTTTCTCGCCCTTGCTCCCTCCTTTTCTCTTTCAATCTTCTCTTGTTCCCACCCTCCTTTTCTCCATGAAATGCACGCTGTAATACCCAGTCACTCTCACAGACACAGAGGGAGAGAGAGACAGGAACAGAATACTGGACTTGCTGCCTGGAGAAGGATTTTTTTTTTCTTAAATCAAAAGGAGCTTGAAAAGAGGCATTGTAAGATGAAAATGTGATTGCTGGTCTTGCCTTCTTTCTTTCTCACCTCTGCTACTGTATGCTCTCGCTCTCTTTACCACTTTCTCCTTTTCCCTCTACTTTTTCTTATCTTTCCTCTGCTTATAGCAGGCCTTTAGAGTCTAAGTGATTTCAGCTGTGGGAGGAAATGAATGGATGTTATTTATTTCTCTTTCCCCGCATTGCGACTGCTGTTTCAGTGCTGTATGTAACAGGTAGAGGGGCAATCTTTTTTTTCTGCCCTGGGGACTTGAGCCTGCAATCTATGAAGTATGCAAGGCATAGGAGGGCAAGAGAATACAGAGGCACAGACAGAGAGGTGTGATATAGCGAGACTAAAGCGCCGAGCAGGAGCAGAAAGAAAATGTGAGACAGATGGAGCTAGGAGACACACAGAGAAGAAAAAGGTGGGTAGTAGTGTCACATGCAGAAAGAAGGGTGAGTAGCAGCAGGCAGAGGGATACAGCAACAGGCGTTACACGGTTTTTCCTATTATTCACTCCTGTGGCTGTTGTGGTGCTCTGTCTCATAGGTTTCAACCATGTCTGCAAAGGTCTGATAGTAAGAACGTCTATTTGTTTGTTTTTAAGGTCTGATATAAAGCCAAGGTTTATATGGAAAACATTAGGTAGTGCTGAAAATCTGGGTACATGTGTTACCTTATTGGATTGTACATTGGATGCATGTGTGTTAGTGTGATGCACTGAAATGGCTTTTCTTTCATTTAGGTAATCTGTTACATATCTTAACTAACCTTAGCTTACCCTAACATTGATTTTCTTCTCCTCTGTCCTTACTGTCTTTTTCTTTATTGTCTCTCTATCATTTGTCCTGGCACTCCTGCATTACTAAGCGTGCATGGAGCAGTGCAGGCACACTGAGCTCCCCTTTTATCATCCATACAACATTTGTTTTACTGATTTTAGATCCTGTTGCATTCTGTAAAAATTTTATTGATTTTATTGTCTAGATTTTCAGTTTCTGTTTAATTTTTCTGTACTTAATAGTTTCCAAATTGACTATGGTGCCAGTTATTCTTACTGCTTACTACTCTATTTAAACCCATCACTTCTATATTTCTTGTTCACCTACATTAACCCTTTAACCTCACACCTGCCCTCCCTGTTGTCTCCCCCTCTCACTGTATCTCCCTCTCTCTCTCTGGCTGCACATGGTACAGTCTTGCATGTCTGAGCAGCAGACGGCTAGACAGCAGCAATCTGCTACAGCAGCCTCATGTGAAGGTTCGAATGATCCATTCAACACAGCCTGAGCTAGAAGCATTAATTCTTTTCCTTGATTTATCTCTCCAGTTGTCTTTTTCCTCAGATTTCTCTGTTTTCATTTTGTCTGGCCACATCCTCTCCCCCTCTGTCTGTGCTAGGCTGACCGGCACAGACATACAGAGAAGACTGCGGCAGCCTCGGCCACCATGATCAGCTGGGTGAGTTGTCCTTCTCCTTCTCTTCTTACACGCATCTTGTCTCATCACCCTCCCAACCCTCTCTCTTCCTCCTCCTCCTCTTCATCTTATGGAAAGTCAGACTCTCACTCTGTCTACCTGACGAATGAGCTTTTGCTCCATAAAGTCAGAGGAACATGACTGACAGGTGCAGTCTCAGAGGACTGACAAGCCCAGCATGTCTAGAGATGGGATATCTCTTAGGGAGAATGTAAATGGTAAGAAGCTTTGGTTTTTTTTTAGTGATGAGGAGCAATTTATTTTTCTGAGTGAGACACTGGCAGCCTATTTTCAGTCTGTGCTGCTGTCCTTGTCGTCTGCCTATTATTGCTGCGCATGTGCCCAGTGCAGGATTTTGGCATTTTCAAGTGAAAAATCAACTATATTTTAGCATCAGTGGTCATACCAGAGACAAGCTGAGATGAGCTGCATCGGTGCCAGGGAGGGTAAAATTCATTAAGGCAGAGCCATTCTTAAGAAGCTGTCTGTCTGGGTGTGTATGGCCATTCAGTTGTGACTACAATATGTGTGTGTTCACTTGCAATAAGATGATATGCGGTCAGTTCTATGCATTAGTCTTTATGTGATGTGCTTCAGACTTACAGTGCGTATCAGTATTTGACTTGCGCAGAATATTATGATGTTTATTGTGTTATATGGTGTAAAGCTATTATGGATGAACTAACACAGGTATGGTGGAGTTGTGCCAATCTCAGCTAACTGAGAACAGACTGGACTTAGCTGCAAACCTGAGACTTGGGGTACGGCACAGCATAAAGCCAGGGAGCGAGGAAGCTGCCATTGTCTGCTCAAGTCTCAGCCGCAGAGCTCAAGTGATGATCTACTGTATATTG